TCGACATACACCCCGCTGAAAAAGGGTCGTAGACACTTCCACACTTCTGAGTGGAATGTGCACGCACCGCTAAGGGTGGGTCTGTTCACGCCCGTGTCCGGGCTTGGGAGATTCACTCACAAAGCCAGCTGGCCAGGCTCTTCTTGGACAGGGTTTTACTGACTGCACTGAAACAGACGAAGAGCTGACCAGTGCATCGAATGGGCGCTGTGTGCTTTACATAGGTTGTTAGCCTAGCACACATGGACATAATAGATGAATTCTCACTTCACTGTACCCTAAGTTAGGTAGGAGGGTAGAAAGCATCCATTATTGACTCTGGACTTGATAAAACACAGTGGACCAACACCAGCACTTAGCACCCCAGACTGTAGAAACTTCACACTGGACTTCAAGCAACTTGGAATCTGTGTTTCTCCACTCGTCCTCCAGGCTGGGACCTTGACAAAGACCTCCTCCAAATGAAATGCAGAATTTACTGTCATCTGAAAAGAGGACTTTGGACCACTGTCAACAGTCAACAGTCCAGTTTTTTTTCTCCTTTGCCCAGATAAGACGCTTCTGATGTCTCTGGTTCAGGAGTGGCTTGCCAGTAGGAATGAGACACTTGTAGCTAATTACCTGGACACGTTGGTGCCTGATGGCTCTTGATGCACTGACTGCAGCCTCAGTCCACTCCTTGTGAAGCTCCCCTAACTCCATACAAAGACACTTCATATTGGGTTTTCCTTTAATTGATCACCTATCTGTATCTATCTATCTATGTTTGATTGTGTTTTGGGTGAACTGGCCCTTTTATATGAATGAGTCAACCATTTTGTCTTGTCGTTTTAAGCTGTCATAAGTCATAAAAGGCCATCAACATAATGTGCCTCACTGTCTGTCGGCAGACAGTTTTGTTGCACTTGTGTCTGTAAAAAGTAAAAGGGATTGAACAAGTGATGCTATTATTTGCCTGAGCCACCCAAAAAAAGCGAGCCCTTATGTGTTTGTCGTCATTTCTGTGTAGTCCTTGTCGGATTGTTGTCTTGTCTCCCTGTGTCCGTTCGTCTACCTGTTCACTGTCTGCACGCTCATGGATTATTACACTCCACTGCTTGGATTATTGTTTTGTTACGTTGCATTGGGATTTTGGACTTTACTTTCATCTTTTGGATTTTCAGTTTCTGTTTGGATACCCGGTTTCACGGACTAGTCGCATTTTGGATTGTTTGGACTTTTAGTGAGTTGTGTGCTTTGTGTAATTTTAATAAACATGTCAAACTCATCCAGTAATTTTTCCAGTTTAGGTGAGAAAAAGTAGATGTTGCAGTGATGCCTTTGCAGCGTACCTGGAGCTGATGAATTTGGTCAGTGTCTCGTAGGGGCTGAGATAGGAATTGAGGCAAAAGATGAAAGTAGGGAAGGAAACTCCTAGCTGTTCTTCGAAGTGTAAATATGAGAGAGTTGTAAGTGTGGATGGTGATGTTGGATAGACTGGGATGATGACAAGACTTATAGGTGGATGACAACTGCCTAGACTTTATTTCATCGTATGTGGGAATGTCCACCAATACTGTCATTCTGGAGGCAGGTGTTGGATCTGGCGAGCCAGGTCATTGATAAGGAAGTTCCCCTTAGTCCTAAAATGTGCTTATTAAACCTCTACCCAGATGGCTTTATAACCTTGAACAAAATCAGGTCTTTATTGAATATTTGTTTGAATTCAGACACATACTGTGTCACATCACAATGGCTGAGGGGAATAACTTTTTACTTAACTTTAGAAAAGATAAGTTACGTAACAAAAACTAGGCTTGACTTATTTTTATGGCTGTTGTACATAATAAGTTTGAGTGTACACTTTCAGATTCATGACTTTGGATGCCACAGCTTCTACTTTGATCCTTAGTGCCTGTTTATTGTATGTAATGTGCCTTGCTGTATTTTTGTCGTAAAATAACAAAAGTTCAATAAATACATATTTTTTAAAATATTGCCGGACTACAGAGGTGGGCGTGTTGTGCTGTGAAGAATAGCTGGTGACTGTATGAGAGGGAGTCTGCTGTTGAGGAGAGGGTTGGTGTTGGCTCTCGCGGCCTTGCCTCCAGCGTCCGCAATTTCCTGACCTCGCTGATGGAGGAGAAGAAGCCTGGGATCCGCAAGGATTTGGAGAGATCTTGTTAGGGGAGCTAGATCCCGGTGGGCCATGGTATGTTAACCACTGAGCGCAAGTGGCAAACCGTTTCAAACAGATCATGGTACAAATTGTCCTCTGAATCAGGCAAGTTGATCTATATTTCTGGATCCATAATGATTATTGGTTAAATGCAAAAGAATTTTGTGTGACCATGTGGTTAAGCATGAAGCACGGTCTGTCTTGCTTCGAGACAAACGGGGCAGGCTGAGAAGAACAGGTATATGTGAGACACACACTAGAGGAATGAAGGTACAGGCAGAGGTAACTAAAATGCTAAGGTTGGAATCTAGGTCTAAACGGTTAGGTCTAACACACAGAGGAGATAAGGAAATATACTGAGATAAGTGGCTAGAACTGTGTTACACGAAAAAGACAATCTGGTGACTACACAAAAGCTAGCTGGGTATTTATCAGACCGTTTTCATCTCAGGGCGTCTAATACCACCGCTTTCAGAAAAAGTGACAAAGCGTAGTTATTTGACCCCAAAGGAACACTTCAGCGTCTGTGTGAGACACCCCAGGTGCGTCTCTATGTGATATTTCCAGATGCGTCTGTATGTGACAGTGGTCGCTCAGCGTCATCTGTGGCTATTGCTGACAGAGCTCCCTGCGACGCAGTGATCTGAGTTCCTTCACCAGGCTGTCAAACCCTCCCGTCTGTTCAGACAGTCTCTGGAAAGGATTTGATGATCCCGCTGGGACTAGATCATTATATTACGTTTTCAAGTTTATTTGATTTAACTGTTTAATACGATGGTATTAATTTAACTGTTTTATACTATGGAGGTTTACAAAAGTTAATGAAGTACTCCAATAATTTATTATTGTGCTTCCATATTATTGTGGAACAGATGAAAAACAATGGTCAAAGCAGCAGAGCCTGAGACATCCTGGCTTTTAGTCTGTAGTACGCGCTGAGCCATTTGTTTAGATATTGGCAAATTGGTCCCATTAAAAGTATACTGCATTACATCATAGAGTACGGTCTAGACCTGCTCTTTTATGAAAAGCGCTGTGAGACAACTGTTGTTGTGATTTGGCGTTATATAAATAAAATTGAATTGAACTGAATGTCCTTTTTTACAGTATACTCATGCACACAACTATTACTGGATTACTTTCATACCGTAGTCTGTATGCAAGAAGTGGACGCAGCCATCGTGAAGTCACCCATTGGTTTGTGTACCACCATTTTTAAGCCTAGAGTTTGGCATTTGGCATCACTGATTTGGGTTTTTTGCAATCAGAAGTGACCACATTCGAACAAGAGGGAGGAGTAAGCTAGCAAGGAGCATCCGTCATTCATGTTAACTGTGATTGGGATGGTAATTTTGGCCAGTGAAAATATGGTTAGCCATCCTTGGCAGGAATACACAACTCCACAAGACCGTTGAATGGCAGATGAGCAGAGCAGAGGGAAAAAGGGTCAACAATAAGCCTCAGTCTAGCTGTGAATGTACAGTGTAAGTTATAGTGACTAATGAATTGAGCTTCTCCACCACGACACGGTTCGACGATCAGTTCACTAAATGCAAAATTTGACAATTATGATTCAACTATGTAAATCCTTAGTCTGGGGCACCCCTACATGTTACCATTGTCATTGTGAGCATGCTAGCATACTGACAATAGAATTTAGCTCAAAGCACCACTGTGTCTAAGTACAGCATCATTTAGTCAGTCTAAGTCAGTCTTATTTTGTAGGTTATAAACTAGGCAGCAGAATTCTATATTTTAATAAATTATGATATTATTATGGGCTTTGTATTGATTAGACTAGAGAAGTGGGGTTGAGTGTCCCTCACAAGCATGATGTCAAATTAAGCCTTAGACTTAAACAGTCATTCAACTATAATATGTTCAAGAATCCATCACATGAAATTATTTAAATTTCACTATTGTAGTTCAGCAGTTCTGCCACCTTATTGGAAGAAAGGAAGGTTTTGGTTCCCCCTTACACACCACATGCATTTCTTTCCATGACACTGCATCTCTGTCATGTTTCACAAGGGCCAGAACATTTACATAAAGGAGAGCTATAATTAATGCCAAAATGGAACTTGGCCCCCTTAAACTGTTTAACACATGCAGAAATAATGATAGTCTCTTAGTTTATGCTATGTGTGCAGCAATAGTGATAAATCATTGTTTTCTTCTTGCTTGTCTCTTGCCTTTTTAAATACTGTACTGAAGTGCTAATTACACTGGTGCATAAAGAAGGAATGTGCCTTTTAGTGCAGAGGCAGAAAAGATTCTTGTCCAAGAAGTCCAGAATGGGGCCAACAATTAAAAATTTGCATGTGTTTGTTGATGTTTTTGAAGACTCACCCACTGAACTAATTCAGTACACTCAATTTTAATACAAATGTATGTTTGCTGATGTTGAACATTTTTAATAAACTTGAAGCGAATCAACATTACATCAAATATCTCACTCCATGTAAGCATCACATAGCTCCAGTAAAAGTTGGAACAAGCACATGTACATTTAAACATAGTGTGTTTTAACTTTTTACAAGATTGCATAAACTTGGGTGCCGGTTAGCTCACCTGTCATCCCCTCTCTCTGTCCACTTTCCCTTACACTCTCTTTTAAAAAAGCCCAAAACATAATTTAAAGAAAAGATTACATGAATTGGCAGCTCATTATAATGTATATGTTTGTGCCTCAGTCAGTATTTCACCAAAATATTTGTTTTTTCTGCAGTTTAAAAACATGCTGCACAGGTACAGATTGCATAGTCTAATGACACATGCTTGATTTTTATTGAACTAATTTTGATCAAACAACTAGATTAATTACAGCACTCCAAAGACTATGTCAAAGCAGTTTAGTGTTAGCAAAATCACCTTGAAATATTTTCCCAGAAATTATCATTCTGAAAGCTGATCTGAACCAGCTGTAAAATAAAGCATATATGAATGGATTGAGCATTGAATTTGACAATGCAAGCCAGTTAAGCGTTTCAGCCACAGCAACTGGCACTGAAACATTATTCAAAAGCTGAAAGGTGAAACAGAGAAAGAAAGGAGTCCAGCACATTAGAAAAATCCCCATAACAGTTGCAAGAGTTTTTGTGGCCTTTTTCTCCATCTTGCTGACAGTTGCTCTGGATTTTGTGCTCTGAGAGGTTGTGCTCTGTATGCTTCGTGCCTGTCTCTGTGCAACAAGGAAAATCTTCAGGTAGATACAGAGCATTATGATCACTGGGAGGTAAAATGAGAAAACAGGTCCCAAAATGTTTGCCAGTAATACATCAATATAACAGTCTTCACAGTTTTCATGGTTTAATCCAGCACTTAGAAATCCAATTGCAACTAAAACAGAAACACTCCAGCTCACCAGGATCATGATCACAACAACGTGAACATTTATCTTAGTTGTATATGTCAGAGGCTGACACACTGCATAATATCTGTCTATGGAAATACAGCATAAATTCAATATAGAAGCTGTGCTCAGTGTAACATCAAAGCTCTCTCGTACTTTACAAAATAAATCCTTTATAGTACAAACATGAACTTACAGTGACTTCCATGCTGAAAGGAAAGACTAAAATGCCAACAAGCAGGTCAGCCACAGCCAGAGAGAGAATGAGAAAGTTCGTAGGAGTGTGAAGCTGTTTGAAGTAGATGATGGAGATCATTACAAGAAGGTTTCCACATGTTGTGGTAACAGATAATGATCCAAGGAAAATATAATAAAACACATATTATGGAAGGGGTTTTTGTCAGTATGTAAGAAACATTATCTATTTCATAACAGGGATGTATAACATTAACATAAGTCCGGCTGACATTGACTTCTGGTGCCATGTTTCTGGGTTCCCTGCAAATCAGTTTTCCATTAATGATAATAACATTATAAAAGACATTAAAAGACATGTTTATTATAAAAAATATGCCTTGCATGAATGCAAATCTACAATAATAGTTTTCTAGATTAAAAGAAAGATTTTCAGTTTGTCATACCTTTTAAATTCTCAAGATAGTTCACGCATCACTGGTGCAGTATCAGTGTTGATGGGGTTTCGTTACTGTGACACTGTGCATGAACTTGATTTTTATCAACCCCTGTCTCATTACACTAATGAATACTTTCTACAATTGTCCAATCAGATGCGGGACTTTTCATCTTGATGCCAGAGCAACATAGTGTCAAAAAGATGATGATGAAGAATTTTTAATCATGTTCTGCTGTCACATGACAGGGATTACATTCACAGATTTTTACTCATTTTCATGACAACTACGTAAAAATCTCTTCCTAAAGTTATTTAAAATTACAAAGATTTTCGAGATCTCTTGATTACTTTTTTTTGATGACAGTGTTCATTCATCTACCAAAAACACATTCTCCTACTATTCTCTGCTCTGCTGATCTCAAACTGTCTATTTTATTGAACTGTCAACTAATCAATGAATGATGAACGTTACATTTACTAGACTAGATGTGTCTAGGTTTGAAGAAAACAATTGGTGACAGCTTCAGTGATGTTGGTAGGTTTTTAATGGGTCCCTAGAACCCACAGGAGGTCATTGGGTGGGTCCCTGAGAAATAAAGTGGGTCCCCATTAAAATGTGTTTTTTGACAAATTGTCGTGGTTTTTAGGGATGGCTATTGCTAGGATTTTATTGATACCACTACTGTTATCGTTTTTTTTACTATTACTGGTTCTGTTCATTACTAAAAGTGTTTGTTTTTTTTTAAATATACTATTTAAAATGTAATGGATGTATTGTTAAAGTATTTGCTTTTTTGTACAAACAGTAGCAACGTACAGTAGTTGTCATCAACTCAAGTAAACTTTATTATTTATTTTCACCTAGTCGCTGACTTTACTGTGTGTGTGTGTAACTCCAAGATTACTCGAGTTGACGACAACTTCGCTGTGTCAACACTATGTATCACTGCCATTTTAATTTTTGCTTATTCTGTGCTTGTAAATAATTTCTAATAAATGTTCAATAGTTTTGTGCTTGTGGTGTATAACATATGCTTTTGACATTACAGTTTAATATAATGCTCTGCAGCTGGTGAAAGGAACAGTGAACCCTTATGAGGAAGTAATGATTGATGGGTGAACCAAGAGTGAACCCTCCTATAGAATTTGACCCCTGACCCAGAGCTGGAGAGAGACACAGTGTTAGGGGAAGTGGTGTCTAACAGATGGTTACACTTAGTCTACAGCACTGTGCCCTTATATGGTATTTAGCAGAGACCTAAACATGTCTTATATAAGCTGTGTTCAATGTACAGAGAGACAGAGTGGCCATCGGGCTGGGTCACTCTCCAAGCTGCTGCAGAGCTTGTAATTGATGCTGAATTCTTTGATGTAATAAACTTTTATAATCAAGAACAGTGTCAAGCGGATTTCTTCTCAACACATCATCGCAGCATTATCGTTCGGACACCACAGAAATTGGCGACCACGAAGGGACCGTGTTGTGCCAGAATTCATCGTTCCATCACAGGCTCCATCGAGCTGACTCCCGCTCCAGAAGCTAGCGTATATGGTGAGTTTTCTCATAAACTGTGGGCGCTGGTCAGTTCGTGTGTCTGTGTGTGCGTTGAAGGGTACACCGGTTCGATCCCGTGTGAATGCTGGCGGGTGGATGTGTGAGAAGACTCCGTTCTAAATTGTGTGTGCGTTGTGGATAACGCAAATAGGTTGTGTGTGTGAATGTAATGAAGACAGATAGATAGATATAAAAGGAAGAAAAAGGAACAGCCTAGGAGTAACGGGAAGTGAGGTTTCATAACTTTGCAAAGATTAAGAATATGGGCCCTCAGATTCTTATAACCGTAAGTCATGTGGGATGGAAATTACTGTCGCGTGAAACTAGGCTTTAAGGAATAGGTAAATTGGAGTAAGGGAAAAAGAGAGAGAGTGCAACCCTGGCCAGGGTCATTTGGCTTGAATACAAATTAATAAGGATAAGGAAGAAAATATAAGGTTAAGGAAAAAGGAAAATAAGGATTAGGACGCCGCAGATCTGGACAAAAAGCCCTTGAAAGGCGATCTTAGATGGGCCGCAAATCCTGGAAAGGAACTAGGTGAATTTTCGGGTCCGTTCAAAGGAACTGGGAGCTTGTAGAAGAAAATTTAATTGTAAGTTACCTCTCGATACATGTGTTGACGAACTATGTCCGAAGTGGCCTCTCATTAAATATCTGCAAACTCGAGGTAGCATAAATTTAGGAAGGAAAATAATAAAGGAAAAAGGTGCGGCGGAAGCATGCTTTATTAACAGTGTGAAGAAATGCATTCTTGTTGACTGGATAGCTTGTGTGTGTGTGTGTGTGTGGAGAGCTGCCCTGCTGTGTCTCGGTTGTGTGTGTGAGAAATAGGAGAAGCCTAGTGTGTGTGAGAGACTGTGCAGAGGACAATAAGGCTAGGATTCAAGAAAACATATATATGAATAAAGAAATAGAGAAGGGAACTTGATCAAGGGGAAAACTGTGTTTTGAAATTTGGTAAAGTTATTGATTAATGCTGCTGTATGGTTTGGGTCATTCCAGAAGCAGCAGTGGGGGTTTTTCTTAGCCTAAGTTACTTTTTTGGGAAGTGCACATTTGTTTTTCTATATTTACTTGTATTTCATTTGGGGTTTTTTATGTGTGTAAATACATTTTTAAAAGGCATTTTCATTGATATTGAAGAACGTTTGTTAATAGAGTAAGCTGTAAATAGGAGTGAAGAGTAGTGTCCCCAGCATCCCCAGTGTAAATGACACCGAAATTCCTTAGCTTGCATGTTAACGTAGATATGTTAAAAGTTAGGGAAAATAGATTATGATTATTCAGAGAGGTAACACTCTTATTTTGGGGGGAAATAACCTTGTGAGTACATAAAAGGACTAAAGTGTTGTTTGCCTTTTTTTGGGTTTTTGTTCTCCTGTGATCTGAGAGACAAGAAGGAGAGAGAGAGAGAGAAGGAGAGAGGGGGTGCCGTCCAGCGCGCCACAGCAAAGCAGCCCCGGATCCAGTCTGGCCAGTATTGTGCAATCCACAAACTCTTTACAAACACCTGTGCATTTGTGTCTATACTCATTTATAATTATTACGGATGATACACATTTAGTTTGTTTCCTTTCAGGATATTATAGACACATTTGTACACAGAGAGTCTATTTGTGTATGCCTGCCATATTTCATGTTATGACTATCTAAGGGGAGACTTGGCAACGGACTGATCAGTTACTGTATTTGAATATTACATATGGGAGTTTTTGTGCAGGGGTCGTTTGAAGTCAAGTTGTGTTGGGAATTGAGTGGTATTGAGCTTTTGGGACAAAACTAAGGTGAGAGGGTGCTTATTAGGTAGGAGTTGGCGCCGTGTGATTGCTGGATAACAAGATTTTTGTGATTGCTCTGGAGTTGACAAATTCCCTTGATTTTCCATTAGCGGATGTGGTAAGATTGCCACCTATCAACAATTAAGTAGAATTAAAAGAAAAATAAACAAATAAGTAATAAGGAAAATAATTTTACAATAAAGAAATATAAAAGAGTTGTCACTATGCGGAAAAAGGACATTAAAACGTTGAAAGTAACTACTCCGGTTGATGTAGTGCAAAAAAATAATCCTCTAGTTGATGGTATTGTAAAGTTATCTGAAAAATGGCATAAGCGTTGGCCTAATATTGAACAACCATGGCCTGTGGAAGGGACTCTTAACCCAGGTGTACTTAAAATAATGCAAGTACTTGTGTCCACATATAAGTCGGATCAAAACAAGGGGAAAAAAGGGGAACGACGTAAAGAGAAGAGACGAAGAGAGCTGGGTGTTCTTAAGTTGTTCGAACATGAAGGTCAAAAACTGATGAAAGAGACGCAAGAGAAAAGGGACAGTGGTGTGGAGAAAAAATGGCAAAAGAGGCAAAGATAACAGAGAAAAATTAATGGCAGAAGTCAACAAACCCTTCTCACATACGGATTCAGCAAAGAGACCTCCACCATACGAGGAGGAAGCGGAGTTTAAGGATGTCTATCCTCAACTTCCAGTGATCATTCAGGAGGGTGGTTATTGCATCAGAGATGAAGATGAACGAATCATAGAGAGAGGACAAGCAGAAACAACTATAAAGATGACTCCAAGCTCCAAAAGTAAGAAGAAAATGACACGTTTGGAAACTAAGGGTAGAGCGAGGTTTAGGAGAATGGAAGATGATGATGAACAGAGTGATGTAGAAGAGATCATGGGTGGATATGATCCTGTGATCAGACGGAGGCTGGCCAGAGCGGAAAGAAGGGGTGATGAAAGTTGGAAGAAGAAGGATACAGGAGATCAGATCTCCGATGAAAGTGAAGATGGAGACAGCGATGAAGAGTGGGAGATTAAAGGTGCTTCATGTTCAAGGGATTTTATCCTCCAATGACTACTGAAGAAATAGAAAAAGACATGGATCGATGCATATCATGCTTGGAGAAGTCGACTTATCCAGAAGAAATAAGAGAATTGGAAGAACATCTCGAGAAGCTGACAATACAGAGGGAGAAATTGAGGAAAAAAGGGTCTCAAAAATTGGAGAAGAAGTATGCATTACGCCCAAGGAAAGGGAGCACAAGTAAGAAGATGCTGCCAGTGATAATCCGAGGACAGAATCTGGAGTATAAGCCTTTGCAGAATACCGATATGTCAGATATACTTGAGAAGTTGCCTATTCTTCAAGATGGAGCACATCCTTG